AGTAGAAGTTATTGGAATAAATAAATCAATTATTGGCTAAACTAGACATTTTTGCCATATCACCATTTCTGTGTATCTCACCAGGGAGTGTTGGTGATTCGATGTCAGTGATGAAGCCTGATGTTTATGTGTCTGATGATGGGGGGTACACCTGGATTAAGGCCCTGCTTGGACCCCATCACTACGCTATTCTGGACTCTGGAGGGCTGTTGGTTGCTGTGGAGCACAGCCCCAACCAACCTATCAACACCATCAAGTGAGTTACAGTTAGAGGGAACAGATGAGTTTGTAACACATGGAGTCTGTTTATGTGATTTACATATATTCAGATTTGAATTTAAATTGCAAGCTATACAACTTCCTCTCATATGTTATTGCCTTACTTTTAATTGATTGATGTCCTGACAGATTTTCTACTGACGAAGGACAGTGCTGGGGTGTTTACAACTTCACCAAAGACCCCATCTACTTTACTGGGCTGGCATCAGAGCCGGGAGCTCGCTCCATGAATGTCAGTGTCTGGGGCTACAGAGACGCCATCCTCAGCCAGTACTGGATCTCCACCACCATTGACTTCAGGGAGCTTCTCACCAGAGACTGTGAGTGCCATGAGAATGTTTGATTCAACAAATGGACTTTAGCACACTTGTGTAAATTTAAAGATAATTTGTCAGTTGTTTGAGGTTATATGTAAACAGAGTCCAAAATATTGATGGTCATAGGTGTGGACAACGATTATGTGCAGTGGTTGGCCCACTCAGATGACATCAGTGACCCTAACGATGGTTGCATGCTGGGCTACAAAGAGAAGTTCCTGCGTCTCAGGAAGGACTCTGTTTGCTGGAACGGACGAGATTACCTGGTTAACACCCAGCCATCCCTGTGTCCGTGCACCCTGGATGACTTCCTGTGGTAAGACTTGAGCTGTGTCCCACATCCACACCTCATACCAATTCTGTACAGTATATTCCACATACCAATAGGTATAGTTTATTATTTTTGCAGTTAGTATACCAAAGAAACTGACATACTTTATAATAACAGGAAGTGATGCTATCAATCAACTTATCGTGCAACGTCAGATGTCATCACACTGTCGTTTTGAAATGTTGCCACAAGTTAAACTTCATAAATAGGAAGCAAAATATCTTTCTTCATTTATTAATTCTAACTGTTTGACCACAATACACATTTATTTTAAATGTTTCCACTGTGAGCAGCTCCGTCATGCCTTTGTACATTGCATTGTGGGAGAAAGGTGTCCGTTTAGCATGCATTCTGTCTAGTATACTTCACTTTTACCTAAATATCCTGTTGAGATAGAAGTGCTGCTAACGGGCTGTAATTGCTTTTATTGGAAGTCAAATTACTGGTGTAAAGGTCTACTTAAGGAAAGCTAAAAGGTTGCTCATTCAAATGTGATTAACTTCCTTATCTGACACTGACACAGCTCATACAGAATGGATGTACTATGAAACATAAAATACAGTAACTTGAGGAAGAGTTCACATTAAACATGCCAAATTGGTATTGAATAGCAGTGTATAAGTATCCTTATTGTGACTCGGGATATTAATTCCACCCTTGCTTACCATCCTGGCATCTTCCGACTCGTTGCAGTGACTTTGGATACTACCGTCAGGAGAACAGCTCGGAGTGTGTGGAGCAGCCGGAGCTGAAAGGCAAATTGCTTGAGTTCTGTCTGCAAGGCAAAGAGGAGCAACTGCAGACCAGTGGGTCAGTGAACTCTCTTTAATCATCAATGCTACATGATTCGCTTCAACTTGTCTGTAATTGTCTAATCTGCTCAATCCTTTTTTATTGTTATTGTGTAGTAGTGTATTGCCAAGACTCTTATCAAAGCAGTGATTTTCAATATAAAAATAACATTAATATTGAAACAGATACTGTGTAAATCTTATATTGTACAAGGCCATCACCGCTGTCATATTCCATAGTAGAGACAGTGACAGACGATTGCTCTCAGTGATGAGGAAGTAGTTGTCATGCAGAGATCAGTCAGAGGAAGCAGATGAGGGTGAGAGTGGTGAGTCTCATGTTTTCAGTGAGGAAGAAGAAATGCCGACTGTAAAAGCAAAGGACATTCTTGGTGAATCATGTTTACTTCACTGCACACAGACTAACTAATGTAAATTGAATAATTGTTGCACAGAAGTTTATGAAAATCCAGTTAAACCATTATGTGCAGTAGGAAGGGTAGGCTGTTGCATTAATACAGCTTAAATTAACAATGAGTGTAATAACAATGAACTGTTTTAGACTGATTTGTATTTGAAAGAGCCAAAACTCAAAAAAAATCCATCAGTTACAGTTGCAAACCTCCAACTAACTATCACAAACTCTTGATGTTTGGGCCACAGCTATAGGAAAATCCCTGGAGATAAATGTGAGGGAGGAAAGAGTCCTGAGCGTAAAGAGATCGACCTCAGCAAGAGGTGTGTGAGTGACCTGGTGTCCCCTGAACTTCTGGTCAGTACTCCTGCCCACTTCTGGAAAATGTCATGACTATAGATTCATTCATGCTGTGTGTTTGCCTACAGTATGTTCCTGCACTACCACTTTAACCCACTGTTGTTGTCTGCTGTTATTTTTACAGACAGACAGTCGCTCCTCCAAGTCTGTAGCCATTGTGATAACAGTCATCGTCATCATGCTGCTGAGCATTGCAGCAGGAGTTGTCTTAGTCAAGAAATATGTCTGTGGTGGCAGGTCCGTGTTTCTTTCCACACATGTGTATAATCTAGAACAACACCAAAACCTGTCCAGGATAGCAAAGTGTATTTTTGCAATTGAGTCATGATTTTAGGTGACCTGATAATATTTTGAATGTGCCCTACAGGTTCTTGGTTCACAGGTACTCGGTGCTGCAGCAGCATGTCGAGGACAATGCTGTTGATGGGATTGACGACCCGCTGGAGACAAACCACACTCAAAATGGCAAGATAGAGTTTCACGACGACTCAGATGAGGTACATTGGACACTGTTTCCTCCCTCATACACGGGCTAAGATAGAAACACGGGTACCAAGTTTTTCCTCCAAGACTGGGCCATTGTTTTGCAAAGGAACCGACGGCATATGTTTCCTATCTTTAAAGCTTGCTACTTGCTTGATGTCATGTAGAAATGCAGATAACTTAAGTAGTTACATAGAAACATAGAAAACAACCAAACCAGACCAAAAATAGTCCTCAACACACCTTAATGCTGAAGATAAATTACTTTAATCAATGTTGTCAAGAACACCAGAGAGTAAGTGCTACTGTTAAATCATCCCTAACGGTGGTTTTGTTTGGGTTTATTGATGTAGGAAGAAAACCTGTGCATGTCATGAGCCTCGTTTTCACTTTATTAAACATTAAGGACCCTGGTGATGAAGCCATGATGTCCCATTGTGCATTCCTCCTGTGCAGACCCACCACCTGCTGTGACAGCTCAACTTGTCTTATATAAGTAGTGGAGGTGTAGAAGGAAACAGAGCAACATAATAGTCCACAATGATGACGAGATAATGGATGTTGTTCATTCTTGCAATGTGACCAAACTCTTTAGGTGCTCTCTGGTGGACAAACTCTGTAATGACACAGTTACTAAATGACCTCAAACTTTGGCATTTCTGAACTGCAATTTTTATTGTCAGCCGACATTTACACCGATATCAAAATATCTGTGATCAGCCATCATTAGCCGATACACCGTCCGGGACAATCTGTCGCATTCAAGACTGTTGAAAAGGGACAATCGCGCTTTTTTCTGTCTACCCACTGCTTGTCACATCATTTTCTTAGAGGTGAAGCTTTAATACAACAGTAATTGGTCCAAGAGTAAGTCAGAGTTTTATAGCTCAAAGCATGGTTTTTAAGTTGTTGCTACAAAGCCACTACATTAACGTAAATGTCCCTACAACCAGGCTACCTGAGTAACTCAGTGAGGTGCATGTGTAAACATAACCATAATGGTTTCTTGTTTGCTCACCTGTGTTGGTTCTGGCTTCATTGGTATGCTGTTTTCTTGTCTTTACACAGGACCTGCTTGAATAGCAGGCACAACCTGTCATGCAACTGAGCAACAGCTTTCCAGTTCTCCCCGAGGCCGGCCGCTGCTCCTGTCACTCTTTTGTCTCTAGCTACTTCTTCCTTTCACCTTCTAGTGTGAACTTGGGCCTCAGCTACCAGACGAAGAGTCTGCGTCACTCTGCTGTCATCTATGAAGTATAATGAATGTACGGAGGCTTCCTGGGACTAATGCCACAGTTGAGGGAGGTGTAGTAGTGTTTGTGCTTCAGTTATTGATTCTGTTTGACTCTCCCAAGTTATTTATTTTAGGGAACAAAGAATTTGTGCAGCAATGTCAACTGCTGACAGAGCCAGAGTAATGGGTTCTGAAGCAAAGCTAATTAAATAAATCCACCACCATTGCATTACGGGTCCTGCCTCTCCCATCACCTGGGAACGCTCCTGGAAATACTTCTCACTTCTGTCGGAGATCTGTGTCCTTTTTCTCATGCAAATGTACATAAACCTGTTTTTCTTTGCCATTTTTTGACGTGGTATGCATTTGGTAGGTGTAAAAAAGGTTGCTGTTGGTTAATAACTCTCCCAAAACCATTTGAGTCTTAATCCCTACTTTTAACAAAGTAGCTGTTTATCAACCTCATACGGCCCAGACTATGTAAATGTGAGGTTTTCAGCTTCTTCCTCTCTGGGCACTGACTTGTGAAATCCCCTGTTGTAGTCTGTATTTGGAATACAAGCCAGCGTACATTTACTCCATGGCATTTAGACCCACGGTTGAAGTAATAAGACATACGTGGAAATGTCCCTTTGCATTAGTTTTGATAGCAATAACAATGTTTAGATTCAGTAAATTGTCCATGCAAGTTAAATAATCCTCATGGCACGTTTGGTGAATGGAGATGTCATTGTGTGAAACACGTTACACATCAATGTATAGGGGGGCAAAGTGTGTCTGTTTCAAGACAGGATTTGTTCAAAAATGTATGTCTGCAGTTGTAACTGCCCAAAGCACAAGGTCCTTTGTATGCCTAGAGTTTGTAGTTTTAACATTTTTCCTAAATGTGACCTAATGATTAATGTGACAAGACTGTAATAATCACTGTAGTCGTATACAAGTCGTGTTTATAATCATTTGAGCAGTTTTTGTACTAACGAACTTTTGAACTTGTTTTAACAAAGTGTGGTTCGAAGATGTTCAGAAATGACAGAAATAATTATAGTTTGATAGTAAATATCTGCAGATATTTTTTACATCAGATTCAGATAACTGAATACATCAATGTGATTTGGCGACAGAAGCATAGGAGCAATAAGAAAAGAAAAGTCAATCATGTAAATGTTGTATAGCATAATTAAAAGTGTAGTCGCCTTTTAGAGTTAACAGACGTGGTTGTTGGGACTGTTTTTAATTGGTATTTGCATCTGAGGTGGAGCAAATTCACACAAAAACAGGGTTGTTAAAAAAAGTTTCATTTCAAAGTGAACTGCTGTTTTTTCTTCTTTTAATCATCCCGATACTGCTGCCATTTTAAAGCTCAACTGGATTGGTCAATGCCTCTCAACAGATCTGTCTTGTCTATCACGCAAAGTCTTAGTTATTTTTCTTTCTTTCAAACATTTGTTGCACAATTATTTGTCTGTCTTGTGTTAAATACGTTGCTCTCATGCAGGTTTTATTTATTTGCGACTTGCAGATTCAGAGTGCAGTAAATTGGATGTGGTTATACAAGTGCCTGTTGTGAGGATGTGATGCGAGGCTCTCCCGATGCGTGGCCAGCATCCCTTTACTATTTATATCAACTAATGTGTAACCAGTTCCATCCAGTATGTCAGTGACACCCTGAAGTTGCACTTGTTGCCTAAATTGAATCCTTGAGCAGTGACGTACATGTGTTTCATACGAGCTCTCATTAAACTGCATGTTGACTCTATTTAAATCCACAGAGCTTCGTAAAGGAAAACAGCCCACAATAACCTGGTTATTCTCTCTTTCATGTCTTGGTATGATACATAATTGAAATTTGGATGAGATTAAAAACAGAGTGGATACAGGGTTATTATGTAGCTGCTATACACTGCGAGACACTTGGCAAGTTATTGTATAATAGTTTATTGCATTAAGTGAAAGTATCACATTTTTCTTACTGTTTAAAACTGCTGTATAAATTAATAAGTCATTGTGATGGTTCTGTAAATATACAAGGTCACACCTTTGTTTCTCTCTCCTGTATATTTGCGGCAATTTTCTTTGGGTTTGCCCAATAAATTCACAAGTTCCTCTATTTTTGTCACCCGGCTCTTATTTTACAGCAACATAAAACTGTTTACAAAGGGATCCGTTACCAAAACACATTCTGGTTGTCGGATGAAATATCCTTAAATTACAACTGTAGTTTCATCAGAGTTGAACAAATGCATTGAAAATTGTTTTATTTTGCCTGTTTAGTAATAATCTGTTTAGAAGGTCACTGAGCAGATACATAATTGTCATAATGCCAACCTGAACATCACACATGGTCAGTCAACAGTTCAACGCAGGAAGTCCTCAGATTCTATACAAAAGGTTGCCCTCTCCATCAAAGAATTCATTGCCAACTTGCACCACAGGGTAAGGCTTTTCCATAAACTCTTCAAGTTCTTTATCTGTCAACAGCTGTCCATCCCAGCTCTCCTCGTCCTCTTTGTCGTCCTTTGAAGGATTTGTGTTAGACGCGCCGTCCTCTTCTTCCGATCTCGTCACAGCGACGTCTTTACTACCAGCTCTGAACTGGGTGGCCTGCAGAGTAGCAGGGGCGGGAATCTTTGCCAGGGATCCTGTACCGTCACCTCGAAGCATCACAGTCTGCTCAGCCACAGGCACCACTGCACGTTCTCTACTTCCAGGTGGGAGTGCAGCTGATGTGTGGTGTCCAGGCAACTTCAGCCTATTCTGCTCTGTCCCAGCACCTGAAGGCAGCGCTGGCTGCCCGAGACCAGACATTACTTTGGCATCCTGCTTTATTTTTCTATCAGGAGCGGGGACGTGGTTGCTCCTGAGGACTCTCAGGATGACATCAGGGGTGACAGAGTAGCCCTCAGCCAGACGCTGTACTGTCCACTCATCTGGTTGCTCTCGCTTCAGATATCTACAAATTGAGTAAATTGTTAATCATCATTCATGCAATTACATTGAAGACAAAAAAAAGCTATGTCTATGTTGAACTGAGATAACAAAGCACCTCACCTGATCTGCTCAATGGCATCCCACGTTAGCTTCCTCTGTGGAGCTCCTGGTGGAGTCATCTGCCTTCTCAGTATATGATACTTTAAAGTCCTCTGCCCCTTTCTCGCCTCACTGAAAAACATGGGAGCGGTAGTTTAAAATGACAAGCAGCACACACAAAACACTGCACATTAAGTTATTTCTATACTAGAATAATGGTTTATCTTACTCAACCACGGCCTGTAGCTTGTCTTCTACATCCTCCAGTTCATCATCAACAGACATGTCATCGCCGTGAGCTCTGTTCGATGCTCTGTCTCTGTGCACAGGGCTCGGTCCCATCCTTGCCCTGCTGGCTCCTCTGCTCGCCGATCGACAGCTGTTGATAGAAACTGAGGGCGTCGCGCACAGAGCGCCAAGCCTGGAGAGGAGTGAGAGGACCTGCAGAGGTCGGGCCATGTTCACACTGTGTTCTCCTGTCCCACTTTTGAGCCAATAGCCTAGGCTAGTTGCGCCCAAAGAGGAGACTCAAACAGTCAGACACAAGTTCACGGACATTGACGCACTTCAAAGGAGTCAAAGGGTCCCACTGACAGACTTTGTTCAAACCGAAACACGTCGCCTGCTTGTTTGTGCTGACTAGAGTATGTCAATGTCCATGCAGTTATCACAGAGAAGTACCCTTCACCAAAACTAGATACCTCCGAAACTCGTGGACGTACTTCCGCAAACATCCCTCTCACAAGACAACCACGGTACGGTACTGCCCACTACCGGAAAGGAGGTGCAGTTATTAGCTGGATCTGAACTAAACGAAGAGGTTCTCTTGTAAAAAAATCAAAAAACCCGAATCTCAACACCATCCATTACACGATTTAACAGGTACGTGTGCCATTTAAATTCCAAACTACACGATGAGGAAATAATATAACACAAGGGGAGCTGTCAAAGAAAACAGAAAATATCAAAATGGCAACATCTGCCGGTCGCCCCGGGCTCTGCACCCGTGTACGTGTGTCACGCAGCTGCGCACCTCCTCCCATGCGCCGTTGTCTCATTTGCGCCATTTTGTCCGCTCACTTTGTTGATTGGGCTTTAGCGAGCTGTACCAGAGCCAATCAGAGGGAAACCGGACAGCGAAGAGACGGTAAGGGAGACCCGATTGAAGCCATTGGTAGTTGTCAGCACGGATTGGTTTGCCGTGAACCAACCAAATTACTAACCCAGCTAAATGCAAAAAAAATCGAATGGCAGTTTGATTTTGACCGCTGCGTCCCTGGGCCGGCTGGGCTGAAAATAACATGTTGTTCTCGACGTTGGCTCCTGGAAACATGATCCCTGGTGGTAGACCAGCCTTAAGCTAACGTTAGCTCAAATATAGACCGTCAGACAAAGGGATGGGTGTTAACGCCTATGTCCTCCCATCAGTAAACGTTGCCCAGCACATTATCACCAGCTAACGTTGTAATAACAGACCAACCTAAAGACAGACGTTAGCTATCAATCTGTTAACTAGCCTCCCGTCTGTGCTTTCTAACCTTTACAACGCGCTGTACGTAGCTAACTGACGCTAGCCTTATTAGCTACAACGGCAATATCCTGTGAGCAAAACACCCAGTTAAAGCAACCCAGTGTGTGGTTCTTATATCACCGCCACATACCATTTGACATTACGGACATACCATTTGATATATTGATGGCACACGTTGGTTAGCGTGATGAGTTGAAATGGAAAAAGGCCGTACTTAAATATCGTTAATACCAAACGTTATAAAAACAACGAGTTGGCTGCAGTAACGTTAGAGATTGGTTGAAAATACCTTGTTTTTTTCTGGACGATCAAGAAGGTTATATGTTACATATGTTGCATTACTAAGAATCATACATCTAATGTCAGCTAATACTGTATGTCTTTATTTTATTTCTAGAGACGGTTGTGACAATAACAAGTCATGGAGCAGTACACCACTGCCACCACTACTACTGGGGAGCAGATCGTTGTGCAGACATCCAATGGACAGATCCAACAGCAGGTGAGCACAGGATTTACTCTCATTAATGTTGGTTTGATGAAGATGTCTGTCTTACCACTAACAATGCAACACTTTGCTATGAGATCACAGGTAACAGGTACCCATAATTAAAGTGTTCCAGTGGATTCCAGATCAATCCCCCCCCGTTAATTACTTGTCTGAGACTATTATCCTGCATTGCCTTTAGACACAGGGCACAGTGACTGCTGTGCAGCTGCAAACAGAGGCGCCAGTGGTGACGGCCTCAGGCCAACAGGTGCAGACACTCCAGGTAGTGGTGTCACCGCCGCCGCCCAGCGTCAGAGTCATGACAGTGTTACGGCCTACGGGATTGCATGCCATACAACCAGGGCTGTTTTTCATGACCCGTCTATGTGCTGTTTGGTTCATCCTCCCTCCCCGGCATGTCTGACAGCTGCCTGAACTGCATGTTCCTCAGCACAGTGTGTTGTTCGGGTTCCCGCTTGTGCTCTCATGACTACTGCTTGTCTGAGTTGTGTTTTGTCTCTTGGCAAGTTCGACGTTCTTCCCAATGAGAACGGAAGTTACATGTGAAACATGAGTCAAATGGATGTGTTTTGCTGTTAGCTGAAGAACCGGTACTGAACAGCAAGGATCCATTTTCATTATTGGCTGTCACCTCTCATCATCTAGCTATGTTTTTCTGTTGTCTAGTTGCAAAAAGAGGTTTTGTATTTTGCAATTGTAGCCCATCTTAATGACAAAAAAATCTTATAGAATATACTGTACATAAGCTAGTTTGGATTTACTATGGAACCAGATAGTTTCATGTTTGTATCCCAAAACAGAAATGACAGCAAATCATCATATTTCATCCATGATGTGGTATCCTGGATGTTCCTGATTTGACATCGTACGCTTTTGATTTTTGAGTCACACATAGGAGATATTGAGGCAACAAACACGGGCGGGCAGTGGTGCTGTAACAGCTTTCTGTATCTCTCTGTAGGTCCAGGGACAGCCTCTGATGGTCCAGGTGAGCGGTGGGCAGCTCATCACATCATCAGGGCAACCCATAATGGTGCAGGCCATGTCGGGGGGTCAGGGTCAAACCATAATGCAGGTCCCTGTATCTGGAGCTCAGGGATTACAGCAGGTAAAAGATGACGCTCAGTTACCAGATTACGTTCTGTATTCACATTGACCCACATTATCTTGTTAAAGGACATGTGTTCTCTGTGTAATGCTATTGGCAGATGTGAAAGCTGGGTGTAATATTTTAGTATGAGAAGCACATTGTGATTGGGCTAGGATGTTCCTGAATCTATGGGTGGTACTTTGACCATGTGTAGATCCAGCTGGTGCAGCCCGGTCAGATCCAGCTGCAGGGCGGACAGACTCTCCAGCTGCAGGGCCAGCAGGGTCAGCCCCAGCAGATCATCATCCAGCAGCCCCAGACGGCCATCACCGCTGGACAGAACCAGGTGTTACACTCTGACCAGTTGAACGGCAACTCCATTTAATCAAATAATTATGAACATGATTATTGAGTGTCTTCTCTTCTTACTTGTGGTCCCACAGGGACAGCAGATCAGTGTCCAGGGCCAACAGGTGGCACAGACGGCTGACGGACAGACCATTGTGTACCAGCCGGTCAATGCAGATGGCACCGTCCTGCAGCAGGGTAAAGTCTGATTTCTCCGACCTTTTCTGTTTGCCTTCTGCTTTGTAGACTTTCTAAAGAGGAGCACTGCTGAGGTGTCATTTTGCATAACAACTGTGATCGTAATCTGTTTCCAGGAATGATCACAATTCCAGCTTCCAGCTTGGCAGGTGCCCAGATTGTACAGGCAGGGGGTGCCAACACCAACACTACTAATAGCGGCCAAGGCACTGTGACCGTCACCCTGCCCGTCTCTGGTAACATGGTCAATGCAGGTGGAATGGTCATGGTAAGACCCTGTGCAGAGGTATCCAGCATCTTATTACCTTTTTTTGATCTAGACTCACACAGGGTGGTGGAGGTCCCCTTTTAAGAGCACCAAATACAGTTTTTCAATTTAAAATTTTTGTAACAATCATAACTGCCTTTCTCTACCCATTGTGAAAATGTGGTGTGGTAATGTATTTATATTGTTTTAGTAGAAGCATATTGTGTTGATGTGATAAATTATTTATTTGGTGACACATAATCATTTTTCTAAAGTGGTATATTTGATGGAAAAGCTGTCAAAATATTTTGGATTTTTTTTTTTTTTTTTTGTTGAATGCAGTGAATATTACTCTGTTTATTTAACACCCACTGTCGTCCCACATAGGTATTTTCACTCTTCTTAGGACTGTATGGGCGTTTACAGACTATGGTTGATTGACATCTCCCTCACCTCTACTGCACTTGTTAGGGCAGGACAACTTTTTTTCAGGGCACCTTTGAGTGCTTTACTCATGCAATCCCCAGCATAACTCCATCCAGTATCAGCCTGTAGAGAAGTCTATTCAGCACCTGTATTTGCACAGTAACTACTTGTTTATGTCCGCATGCTGCTATCGTGCTTTCCATGCCAGAGGCTTTAAACACGGTGTCCCTGTTTGTGTCTGTCCCTCTATCAGATGGTGCCTGGAGGTGGTGCAGTTCCCACAATGCAGCGAATTCCCCTGCCAGGGGCTGAGATGCTCGAGGAGGAACCTCTGTACGTCAACGCCAAACAGTACCACCGCATCTTGAAGCGAAGACAGGCTCGTGCCAAGCTCGAGGCTGAGGGCAAGATCCCCAAGGAAAGGAGGGTAAGACACATTGGTTTACAACACACACACACACACACACACACACAGGCACATTGAAGCTTCTTCTTCCTCACTACCTGCTAAATGCAAGTGCACATGATTTGTCTATCTATCATTTCATACTGGGCTGTATATCATCTTGGGCTGTGATGGAGTATGTCTAGTGGTATTTAGCCATGTAATCTCAGAGAAGGACAAGAGGAAAGTGCGAAAATGTGTTTTTCAACCGGTACTGGTACATAGGTCGCGCAAAGTGTTCAGTGTTAAAATACTAATGCTCCTGTACTTACTCCTTAGCAGAAATACCTTCACGAGTCTCGCCACCGTCACGCTATGCAGCGCAAGCGAGGAGATGGAGGACGTTTCTTTTCACCTAAAGACAAGGAGGAAATGGCTTTGGCCCTGGCACAGGTAATAAAATAATATACTGACTCAAGCTAATATAATAAATATGTTATACATTGTCAACTAAGCACTTAAAACTTACTTTGAAGGGTTTTTGAAAATGTGTATGGAATTAGGTGTTACTGTGTTTGAATAGGAGATATCTCATTTTGTAAAGATGTCTTCATGATGTATTATGGTGACCTCATTGATAATTTCTCCTCCTCCTCCAGCAACAGCAGGAGGTAGCCCAGGCAGCAGCAGATGAGACCGTGGCTCAGATGATCCGAGTCTCATAGCACTGTCGCCAGCATCATCTCTTCTGTCTGTGAACTCTGCCTGAGGCTCTTCATCCCATCTCACCTGATCTGCCGCACCATCTGCTCCCACTTCTACTCCCTCCTGCCACGCCGTCTTACACCAAATCACAGCACCGCCGCTGGGTTTCGTCTGTTATCGCTCCAGTCCGACACCGGTCTTCCAGGGAGCTGACCATGTGGCTGCTAAGACTGTTGACGGTTTTGGTCTTCTTCTCTGAAACAGAGGATGCTTCCACCCTCAGCTTATCTGGTTGAGCGTTTACGACCAGCTCTTTTTTTTTTTTTCCCAAAAGGATTTGTTTAGACAATTATGATGCATGAAGTTATAGGTAACCAGGGCAAGTCCCTCAGAGCAAACAACAGCTGATGTCACACCCTGGTCTGTAAAAAGAGATTTTGTCACCAGTGGATGCTTTAAATATTTTTTGTAAATGGTACATTTGTTTTCAGAGACACTCGCTAATAAGCATTGGTGTCTTGTATCTATTATGTGATAGCCTTTATTGTGACTTTTCATTTTTTAAACCCACGTACTGTGGGAGATGGACTCCGCATCATAAGTCCAACCTGCGTCCACTGAGCAAAAACTGAAATGTGATACTAATGTGAAGATAATGTACAGACATTCTTCTCTTCCCCAGTGTGTAACGGATGTACTTACCAATTTGCCCCATTTTGTGGATGCATTTTATACAATTTCGTGGTTAGACAGTGTTTGTAGGAAAACAGTGACTTGGTGTTTAATCACATTACACATTCTATCCATGTAGTTACCTCTTCATCAGTCAGTCCACCTATGTGTTTTGTTTTTTCATTGTAGATAATAGATTATTTTTTTTTTTACCTGTCAGATGCAGCAATGCAATGTTTTGGGGTTTTTTATAATGGAAAAAAGGTTGGACATTCTTGAAACCTGTCAATTAAATTTTATTAAGTGACTCAAGGCTGTTTGTGGTAACTTCTTCACTCCCATTTTTGGTTAGTTTAGTGAATCATTCATTTAGATGTCCCATGAGTCTTATCCATTGGCTTTCTATCAATACTTTATGGTAGCTGCAGTTGTATACTTTATATGCTTTTGGGTAGTTTTATCAATACAAATGTAGCATATTTTCTAAATGCATCATGTAATTTGTATATAAAATATGAATCTGCAAAGTATTTAGCAAGAATTACATTATTTAACTTTGAAATAAAATGTGATAGAAGTATGAAATAGCATAAAATTAAAATGTCATAGTGCAACAACTTCAAAATATTTATAAAGTAAAGTACTCATCTGTTTTACATTATAATTATATCCAAGTAAATGACCCTGAGCAAATTATAATTAAGACTAATTCAATTCTAAAACTTTGTGTTTACACATTTGAATAAATTAGTTCAACGGAACGTAATTTATTTATTTAAATTGATGTGTTTTCGATATGGGACTAACATGTCACGTTCTTCTCCCTTTGTTACACCTCCTAAGTCAAAGGGTCAAACACTGTCCGAGCAGGCTCTGCCAATCAGACGCCGTAGATTACAGACGTTGGTACCACAGTCTGCCAATCACAGCGAAGGGGGCGGGGAATGTACTCAGCCTCCGATGACGCTGAAGGGCCATTGAGATACTGCTTCTATTGAAACAGAACATCTAGCTTAGACCTGCTTTGACTCTCAAGTAGTGACCCGGTAGTAACAAGTGAGTGTAACCAAAACCAGCGCTACTCTTCAATTAATGTGAGAAAAACAGCCTCATCCGTTTGCTTCTCCGTGTTCCTCCGCACCGGCTCTGACTGGATGAACAGCGCCCACACACCGCCTAACGTTACCGCAGTGACCTCAGCAGACACTTAGATCTCCGTGGTCAACTCGGCAGACACTTGAATTTTAGTGCACCTATATGCTGAAATTCACGGTAAACGCATTCAAACGGAACACCGGGAGCGAGCGAAGGACTGAATTATATTTACATTAAGTATAAAACATGTTACCTGCATCTCGTGAGTTAAAGGGAAAATACAACTGAATTGTGGATGAAGTGTCTTTATTCTTTGATTTGAGGGTTGCTGGAAAGATAATTAAATGACTAATATCTGACTGACTGATATGTATGTGTTCAGGACATTTCTGACCACATCCAAACAAAAATCAAACATGTTAACTGTACCAATTAAGAATTAAGAGCAACCCTCAAATCAAAGAATAAAGACACAATGTTGTTGTATTTTCCCTTTAACTCACGAGATGCAGTTAACATGTTTTATACTTAATGTTAATATAATTAATTGTATCTTATTTCCACCTAATGCAATTTGTATATTCGTTTATATAACATTCTATTTTGGAAACCGGATGTTGTCTGACAGTAATCGCTCCCATTTATTTGACATCTTATTTTGAAAACCGGATGTTATCTCACGTTAATCTTTCCGCTAACTTTGCAAAGTCCTTCGCTTGCTCCCGATCTGTGCCGTTTGAATGCGTTTACCGTGAATTTCAGCATATAGGCGCACTAATATTTAAGTGTCTGCTGGGTTGATCACGGAGATCCGAGTGTCTGCTGACTTGACCGCAGTCTAACGTTACACCGCCTAACGTTACTCGTTCAGGTGACAGCCTCGACAAACCGCCCCCTCCACTCGGAGATGTTGCCGGGTACGGATGACAGCAGACCAGAGGACCGAAACAAGTGCCTGCACCGGTCTTCAGAAAGTAGTGAAGATAGAGAACAGGGTAATCTCTCTTAAAGTAGGCTACTTATTGCTCCGCGCTGGGGTCTAGTGGAAGAGCTTCAGCCACGGTTCGGTCATTTTAAGCCACGAAGCTTAACGAAGAGAGAGAGAGAGAGAGGAAAAGAGACAAACGGATCAAGCTAACGCTAACGGTAGTCTGGTCTAAAAGCCAGGTTTCTTTCTTCAGTAACGGCCTCAACATCTCTCCTGGATGCGATGACTGACTCGGTTGTGGACAGCAAGGCGGAGGTGAAACAAGCCACGAAATATGTCAAAGAGACCGAAAACGTCGCGGAGAAATATTCAGCGATGACTGTCAGCAAGAACAGCAGTGATGTGAACATGAACGTGGGGGAAATGCCTTCCGCAGCGTTCACCGCAGTGCCCACTCTGAAATCCGTCAAGAAGGTAAGGAGCGTGATGCTCGCCATCACTCACTGAGCAGAGAGACAGTGTGTACTATAAGTCAGC